CCTGCAGTAGCTACAGTCTCTGAGATGTAATTTAATGCTGCTTGTACAGCCTTTCACTATGAAGCTGGGGCATGCTCTAACCAAGCAATTTTCCCCTCCTACTCAAATAAACCATACATTAAAAAAAAAAAAACATCTCAAATACACAGTACACTTACGTTATGGGCCCAGTGAGGTATAACATAAAGTCTGACTGTGAATTGCTTTTTTTCATAGCCACAGTGTTAAGTAAAGAACAACAGCTCAGGCAAGAACTGGAAGGGACCACAATATGTGCCTGTGCTCCCAGGGATTCAGGCAGTCACTGCAGCTGCAGGAGTCAGTTCTGGAAATTCAGAGTTGCTCCCAACATCCTGCAACCACACCACCAGTGCCTGAGCCACAAGGCTTTATCTCAGGCTACATGTCACTTTTCCCAGGCCAGTGTCAAGCTTTCCCATTGCAAAATATTTCCATTTTTTTTGCCTGCAATAGCAGACAAATTTGTCATACAGTGTGCTGTCCAAGGAACTTGAGATAATGACAGTAACTGAGAGAGGTAACAGGCAACAACTCAGACTGGGTATTGCTAGGGAATTCAATAATTATGGACAGCCCAGTAATTGTGAGGAGTCCTTTGTTGTTGAAAAATGGCAAAGTGGCAAGAGAGGAGTTTTGTTGTGTGAGTATATTGTCCTTTTTTGTTGGTGTTGAGATGATGTGGCTTTAATGTAGGTGTGGATTTTTTTGGTTGATGTAAAGAAGTGCATGATGAAGACATACTTTAATTCAGCTCTCTAAGACCTATGACTAACCTACAAAAGGGGATATTAACTGTTTAATTTTATCAGTTTGAAGGGACTTTACATGAACATGATATTAACTTACTCCTTGGAAAAACATACAGCACTATATACTCTGAGTTTACATAAAGTAACATAACAAAGGAAATGGGAAGCTGGCATTGAAATCTGTGAATTTATACCCATATGCAGGCTGTAGACAGGGCAGTTAGGGTGATATACTTCCCCTTTAGAAGCTCAATCCAAACTTTAAGCTCCCTCAGCACATGAAAAGTTTGTAAATGGAAACTTAGTATGGTTGCCCTTTACTTTTCTTTGCTGTTCACTTGGGGTACTAAGGCTTTAAGGGGAGTACTGTGCAGAAACATCTGTGTTGACAGGAATACTGTGCTCCACACACTGCTTTGTAAAGGAGTGGCTGCTCAGGGTCTGCACATAGTGATCAAATAGCTGACAGCTGCTCCTGTTTTTCTTTTTTATTCAGGGATCCAGCATGAGAGTTGGACTGTGAATACTGAGCTATTATTGTTGGCTCACAAATGTTGAGCTGCTGGTATTGATTTTCTGAAAAGATGTTTGGAGCAGTAACAAAAATAAAAAATAATGTCAAGAATGATGAGGCTTCACAAATAGCCAATAAAAGAATCCACAAAAATCTTAGTAAACTCTTGGGCTATTCAACCTTGACATTGTCCTTTTCAATCTGAATCCAATCTTCTCCTCATGTTTTGAGAAGCCAACCACATTTGTTTTTACCCTCACAGTGCCTCCACTGGCTCAATGAATCACTCTGAGCTGCAGTTTGCACTTCTAAACTTTCGCACTCTACACATTCACCCTGGGAGAGAAGAAAAAGAAATGAAGACCTGGAGTAAATGATAAAAGTCCTGTTCATCAGAAGGGATTTCTTCTGAAGTCAATGGGAGCTCACAGCATGGGCTGGCTGTCAAGCTAGAGCCCTCATCAGGCCTCATATGGACCTCCCAAGCATATACGTGCTGTCCTTTTGTAAACTTTAGGATTTACAGTATTTGATTTACCCATGAATACATGAAAAAAACTGCAGTCATTTTCATTATAAACTTTATTCTCTTATTACATTTTTAAAAATACAAACAGCAGTTGATGATCACAGTAGTTTATAAAAAGCAATTAAATTTTTATTATGAGATTATTCTCAACTGTAGCCAAAACTAACATCTAATCATTCCATAACTCTCAAAATAAAAAATTAATTATCCAGAATTAAATGTTCCATATGTAAGCTTTCCATAATGGAAGTCCCTGAAGAAAATTGACCCTCAGTATCTGAATATTTCATTATTTCTGACACAGGGGACTTAAAACCACTACTTTTGTTTAAAACCAGAATAATTAGTCTCATTTTATTTCACTACACCAACATAAAACTAGAGTAATACAGCTATAAATTAGGTCAAATATTTCTAGAACTACTGACTAAGATAAAAAATTTAAATGGGCAATATAATGTTCTTAATGGACAGATGGAACAGCACAATGTCTTACCCAGCAGCAGTTCCATTAAACATACTGGGGAGTAAGTTATAGCCTAAAATTCAGCACACAGTTTACCAGTGTCTGCCTGTGTGTTTGCACAGTGCCCTCTAAGATGGGCTCCCTGCCTGGGTATTACAAAAATACACATACGAGACAGAAAAAATTAATGTGCTTTGAAATGTAACAAAAACATTGAGATAACTGAAATAAGAAGATCTCTTCAAGCTCCAATAACCCACTTTGCTTCAAGCATTGTTGCCTTTGCTTGTGATTTCATTTCCTCCCAGGTGAATAAAAATCAGCAGTGTAAATCTATTCAAAGAGTCTACGAAGAAAGGACTTTTTCGTCGATGTTGATAACTTCATGGTTTTCTTTTTGCGCAATGGTTTCATGGGTGGCTTTTTCAGGCATATCACCTTTTTGGGAGTTTGTAGCCCTTTATTAAGGTCAATGTGCTCATTGCAGAAATACTTGACATTTGCTTCTGAGAGACGTAGAAGCATGGTTTCTGAGAGATCCATACACTGCGCATGGACCCAGTGGCCAGCCCCACTGGAACACAGGATCATTGCAGGCTTGTTGAGTTCTGTCGAATAGAAAGGGACCCAGGTGTTGATGTCAATATTGCAACTGGCACAGCAGGTGATCCAGTAGCCTGTTTCTGATTCATCTTCTTCATCATCTTCATTGTAAGTATCAGCATCGTCAGCATCAAAGCTATTGGCTTCAGCACTAAAAAAAAACTCCTCCGAATCTTCAAACGGAGTGGAGTCTCCAGGGTCTTCACTTGATGTCTGACTGCAAGTTTGTGTTATCAATTCTTCTTCCTTGTCTTCTTCTGCACCTTTGCATCTCAAAATGTAGAAATAGTTTGCATCTGGAATTATTTGTTTGTTGGCCCCTGGAATGCCCAGTAAAACAGACCCTTTACCCATATCGCAGCCAAACCACATTCTGCAGTGTTTAATATCTGGTGTCCATTCTGGACCCACACTTTCAACAATCTCTATCTTACTATCTTCCAGAACTATGGTGTTACACGCCAGCCTTTTCTGGTTGTCTGAGTGGTAGCCACCGACAAGGACAAATTCATTGTCACTGATCTGGGTCACTATAGCACTTGACACTGATATCCCCCCTGGCAGAATGGTGCAGGTCACAGCCGGGCTGCCCAGGGGCAGATCAATTTTTATCCTGTACAAGTTGGGGGACCTGGTGTTATTTTGAAGTGAGTGGCCTCCCAAGATGTAGATTGTATCATCTCTGGCAATTGAAACGTGGAAAGAAAGTCCATCTTGAAGCTCTGGAAGTATGTATGATGTACAGCATCCAAACTCAAAATCAATGAGAAACACAGATGGCATACAGTCAACTACACTGTTCCATGTTTCCGTGGTTCTTTGTGCAAGAGGAGTATATGACCTCCCTCCAAACACAACACTCATGCTTTTTCCCCGGCTATGAACTACATTCATTGAATGCCCATATCTAGCTTCAGGGACATCTCCACCCAGGTCTTTCTCAATGCATTGGAACGTAATTTTCTTGCTAGTTTTGCTTACCAAACTTATAAAATAAATCTTATCAGAAAGGTCATTGTTAGGTGTTTTACCACCATGGATGATATAATGGTACTCATCAGCGCTTGCATCGCTTCTGAGTGTGCACAGAGCAGGGTAGCGGAGAGGGGGAAGGTAACATGAATCTTTAGAGAAGGAGACAGGTTTCATTTTGAGCTCATTCTGCTTTATATCGAGGAGGAAAACACCAGTGGGGCAGGATCTCTTTGGCCATCCTTTCTGACCAAAAAAGAAAACAAGCCCATCAAAATTCAGGAGAGAGAAGCCTGGCTGAAGCAAGGATGAGTTACTGATGGTGGATACCATCTGCAGCGACATTTTGTCTGTTGACTGGGCCATACCGTGGCTGAGAAAATAAAAAAGACAAAAGAAACAGATCAATTAGATCCTATCACAATTACTGTGATTAGATCATATCACAATTATTTAAAACAACTTCAATAAATCCTATGGAAGTTGTGCTGCAGTTCACTCTCTGAAACTCACAAAAGCACACTTTTCTGGGTCTCAAGACATGACTCAAGCATGAGGCTTGCACCATTTCCGCGGAATTTTGGGGATTTCGTGCACACCACGAGCTGCTGGCACGCGGATCCTACACAAGGCTGCGCTGCTGCGGCTTCCCGGGGCGGGCGCGGCCGCTCCCACGGGAGCGCGGCCCGCGGGCTGCTGGGGCCGGTAGTCCTGGCTGGGTGCCCGGCCCGGCCCGGCCTGCGCCTCCGTGTCCGGGCCGTGGGGAACCGGGACCGGCGGGCTCGGAGAGCCGGCGGCGGTGAGTGCGGCCGCGGGGCCGGGCTGCTGGCTCAGCCCCGGCGCCGGAGATGCCCAAGCCGGGATTTCCTGCCCGTTTGTCGCCCCGAGGCGGCCGGGGATGCCGGGCTGGAGCCCCCCGGCCGCGGCAGGACCGGGCCCCGAGTGCGGGAGCCTCGTCCGGCGGGCTCGGGCTCGCCCGGGGCGGCAGGAGACTCCGGCCGGGAACCGGCCCTGCAACCAGCGGGCGGGAGCACGGCGTGCTCGGGAATTCGAGTGCACGTTTTGTTTAGAGGAAAACGTCAGCATTTGTTGAGTGCCTTTAGAAGGAAGAGGTGCCCGCGGTCTTTGCAGCCGTGCGGGGCTGGCTGGAGCGGCGGGCCCGGGGTGAATCTCGGGACAGCCCAGTCGGGATCTCGGGCTTGAGGGTGCCGCTGCCGCGGGGCTTCAGGGAGCGCCAATCCTTTGTCTTGCATCTCTGCGCTTTGCTCACGCTTTCGTGAGTAGGTTTCAAGGGTGTCTTTTACTCTCAGAAACATGTTGTTTGAATACTGAAAGGAGTTTATGTAATCAACCTGGATATTGACTGTGAAAGAGCTTTGAAGAGCAAAGACACCGGGGGGGAAATAACTGGCTGATTCATTGGCAGCATCCTTTGGTGACAGTAGGCTGATGCCCTTTAGCAGTGTCTTAAGTTTTCTGTCCCAGCCTTTGCCAAATCCCCAGAATTTAAAGGTGTGAACGAAATATTAGGGAAAAAAAACCCCACTGAATTCTATATTTTAAATGTAACAACTTAAAAAAAAAATTAGGATTCATATTTTCATAGTTGCTGCTTTTCATTTTGCTGTGACAACAAAAACAAGCCACATAGCTGTTCCTTTTTAAGGAAGCATTGGTATCTTCTAATTATGTGACGCTAAAACGTGGGGGGATCTGAACAACGTCATGTAGAGGAAGAGTTGCTGTAAAAACATAGGAACTGGTGACACTGACTACATCAATTGCCATGTTGCACCATATTGCTGCACTGCCTGCCTGCAGACTGGTATGGGAACTGCTGTGCTAAAATAGGGATCTGCCATGGAATGTTTTTCAAAGGTGAGGTGTTTTCAGGCTAGAGCACACAGACAGGGTAGGCATAGCCATTATTGAGTCTATTTGAAAAACAATCCATGGAATGGCTGTCTTAACTTGTGGAATCATCCAAAGATCATGGTTGAGTTCTGTTCACTATATACCCTAATGCCTCTGCCCTGAAGGTGCTAGTTTTTTCCTACATTTGGATTTTTTTTTGAAGTACTGCACTTCTAAAGTTGAGGTTATAAGTTAATTAAATTAGTGAACCCTTTTCTGAGCATGTCAGTATACACAGCAGGTTGTGTCCTTATTATGCATGAAGAAAGACTTATGAATTTATTTACCTTCAGGTGATATGCTAAACAGGAATCTGCTGCTTGTTTCTTACAAACATTCAAAAATGGCATCATCAGAGGAGCTTGCACTAAGTTAGGTTTATTGATTAGATGTCATTTGTCTCTTCTTTTGTATTGTCTGGTTACTTAGCTGCTTTGATTTTACAGGATCTTTAGAAAAGTAACGTCTTTCATACTGAAGATGCCATAAGAAAATTTCTGTCCTATGTAAGAAAATTAGAGTTCTTTATCTTCTATTTCTCCAGTTCTACATTTGACTGCTGGTTTATATTTGAAGTCTAACAAGAGTATTAAAAGTGGCAAACAACTTAATTGGCATATTGGTATGCATCTTACATTTTCACACATACTTAAAGAATCTCCAAATAGGGCAATTAGTGGTGTCCGCAATGTCACAAACTATTTCCCAGATATTGAGCGGTACTCACTTCTGAAAAGACTTCACTATCTGAAGAGTCTGCAGATACAGAGTGGAGAAAAAAATCAGTGAAAATTTTTTGATTGATAGACACACAGAACATAATGGTTAAAAACACTTAAACACACTTCCTTGTTTCATAATATTTCTTGAACTTTACATAAGCAAACAGTTCAGTATGTAATGGAGGGAATGTTTATCTGAGATTTTTGGACAGAAGTATCTCCTTAGGCACTGGCTGAAATTGCTTTGGCTTTTCATGTATTTTCCTGTTAATTACAGTGTGTCAATACAGTGTGGTTGCTCTTTGGCTATGCTGACCTCCAACTCTAACCTTCCTTCCTCTGGGCCGTGGCTCATGTAGCCCTGGACTGCTTCAGGGAGCCCAAACGATCTAACCTTATAAACAAAGAGTTTAAAGTGCTTTTTTGTGGCTTTATGCTCAAAACTGGAGTTGGATTAGCAGTGTAGCTAGTGCAGAGGGAAACAGACAAATGCCTTTGTTGTGGTGCAACACAGGATACTGGGGAAGAGACACTACAGAGAGTAAAGACAAATAAGAAAAGAAGGGGGGAGTTACATAAACAATTTCCAATTACGATGACTTGAGTCATGCTTCATCATATTTGGTGTTTTTTAGAAGGATTATACAAGTAAATGAGAATCTCAGCATTGCTTTTATAAGCTCCCTATTTGGGAAGCAGTAGAGACGAGCTAGAAACTAAGCTAACAGAAAGAAAAAAACCTGATATTCTCTCTGTCTTTATTTTAAAATCAAACAGTATTTTGAGCAGGTTTTTCAGGTAAGAGTTGGTTATATGGCGAGATTATAAGGAATTCAGGTTTTGATGGATGCATTGGGAGATACATCTATAGAAGGATCAAATGAAGACAGAAGGTATTTTTTAAAAATACTAGTTAATGTAATTTGAAATGTGCTTGCTATGGCAACAGATGGACATAGTTACAATTTTGGGTGATGTACCATTTCAGAAACCCTATTAGGTGTTCACAGAGAAGTACAAGATGAACATCTTTTAGAGGCAAGGGGTAGCACTGGAGGACCTAAACAGCAACTGACATTTCATATACCTTTGGATAGTCTTCCTTGTCTTCTAGCTTCTCCTATGGAAGCAAGTCTGCCATTCTTTTATGTCCTACACCCTAGTAAATCTAGGATTTATGAAATGTCACTAGATGACGGTGTGGCACTGAGTCACCCCAAGCTGTGTTTAATAGTTACTGTCCTCTTTGACCCTATGCAGAAATGGTTTGTTCACCTATGTGCTTTGCCTGTTACCTGTTAGTTATCCAACAAAAATATTCTAATCAGGAGAACAATGACTAATCAGTGCTGCTGTTTAGTGTGACATCTCATATTTTTCAGCATTGAAAGTATTATTTGTAATAATTTCACAGTAATTTGAATGCTGCAAAATAATGAATGACTAATGAGTTGATCTTATGAACTGTAGCAAACACAAAGAACCTTTTCCATTTACACAAAAATAAGATATTTGAGCTGTACTGATTGGACACAGAGAATGAAATGCAGGATACAATGGAGTCTTAGCTGGTAAACACCCATTGCTGACCATTAATTAGTTTGCAGTTATTTTGATGAGAACACAAATACGTAGTATAGAATTAAATTGATTTTGCAGTATTGTGTTTTCTTTTCTTTGACAGATCTGTTTTTTCATTTCCAAAACAGAAGAGCATACCTCTGAAAAGCAAGTGCTGTTTCCATATTATCCACTATCAAAATCATATCCAGACACACAGAGAAGTTCGAAGTCCTCCATAAAGAAGCTTAAGGAAGGAAATTTTTTATGTAGTATTTCTCAAAACATTTTCCAAGTGTATCAACCAAGTTTGCTTTGGGCAAAACAATAATTTAGACGTACCTGGCTGATAGCAGTTTTTTGCGTCCTCCGTAATCTTTCTGTGTAATTGGGATTCAAATGTGAGCAATGTGAGGAATCTTCTGTGACAGCCCAGGGGTCTCGTGGCAAGGACAGACAGCCTGATAGAGGGGATTCTATATGCTTAATTTGCAGATGTGCTCCTGAGAACTCTATCTGCTGTGGCTAACTGGCTGTGACTGGTTTGTTTTCTTTCCTCTCTTGTCTTCAGATGGCACAACAAGAAACCCACCAGCCTCCAGAAGCTTTAACTCTTTGCTGTGGAAGAAGCTCAGAGTGACAGCAGGTGCCTCTTAGGTTGTAAATATCTACAGCATAAGCTTCTCTATGGTTGAGTTTTTTTACGCTTTTTTCTTTTACACCTATCAACCTTGTGATCATCTTCAGAATTTTTCAGTGCTGTTTTAAGATGTAATTTAAAATAAATTTTGAGTTAAAAAATAATTTCAATAGGTAGTAAAAGAAAACAACTCTTGCTGATTGGCATACTGCTTTCCCCAGGAATTCTCTGCTGCAAGCGGGCAATGACATTGAAACAGAACAAAGGAAATGACACATGCATGCAGTTTACTGAGTGAGGGCTGACTAAAAAGTCCAAGTCCACTGAATTAATTAGAAATGTCTTTTTTTCTCCTTTGGTGGCCTTCTGATTAGACCTTGAAAGACTAATAAAACTTTGCACCCTTCTGTGGCATTTTTCATCAGTTTCGCAGTGCTTTTCTCCAACACCAAATAAATAATGAGACGCTGGGAAGTCCACTGGGAGCATATCCTTTCAACAGCTAGCAGTGCTGGGGCACAGAGGATAAGCCACTTGCATAACACAGCACAACAAATAAACAGAAAAACCTGGAAAACAATTACTCTTCATAGCTCTCTGTTTTTGTTTTCCTGGCCCTACTTCACCCACTCCTGAGTTACAACATCTGCTGCACAATATTTTAGAAATATCTCAACTCCCATTTGAAACTGCTGTGAGAATAGAAATAGAAGGAACTTGAAATAGAATTTGATTAGTACAGCAAAGCAAACACCAAATGTTTGTGAAAATTGTCTTGAGACACTGAATAACTGTAATGCAGATAGGATGTGGTGATGTTTCTCATCTGAAATACAGCAGTGCTAAGGCACTGTGCCCTGTAGCATCCATATGGGCCTTTTCTACTGAAACAAAGATAAAAGGAAGCTGTAGTGCAGAGTTGAATGCTGAAGGACTTCCCCCGAAGTTAAGGGCATTCAGAACACATTTATTTGTATTTTCACTAAGGCCTAGATAATACTCAACAGCTTTTTATCAAAGTGTCTGATGTATTCTGACCCTTGTTTGGGTCTGTGGTCAAAGATGTACTGGCAAAAAAAACCAACAAAAACCACCAAAACAAACAAACAAACAAACAAAAAACCCCAAAACCAAAAACACACCAAAAAAACCCAAAAAAAAGAAACACCACCAAAAAACCCAACCAAAAAATCCAAAATCAAAATATTTAAGTGAAAAATCCACTCCCCCAGTTTTGTCACTTTAATATTTTACATTCATTTTAGACTTTTTTCCTACCAGTTGACATGCCTTATCTTTAGAAATTATTTTTCCAATTACTGTAGTTGAGAAGATAGAGAAATTAAATTTTTTTTGGCAACAGCATGTCATTTTTGGATGAGGACATGGCCTGTCTAAGCTGATCTTTGTCAATGACAAAGTGCTTTGGAGAAGCTGCAGCAAATAGCTTTAGAATAATGTATCTACATGCTAGGAAAATTCTGTTCAAAAGTGTCCCAGTCATAGCAAGAAGATCTTGGATTTCCATCCTAAATTTAACTGGCAAAGAACCCATGTGAAAGGGAATAGACTTTTCCTTCACAATTTCTATTTTAATAATATGGATAGAGCTAGTATGTTTTCAGCAGATTGCTCACTGTTACGGAAATGCTTTATTTCACTTGGTTGTCTTCTTCTACAATTGATTTCTTAAGATAATATATTGTTTGTGTCTTCTTCATCCCAAATCATTCCAAATTGCATTGAGATATTTCCAGGCTTTTCAGCATATTTTCTGCCAGTAAAACACAGTCATCTCTGAGCTGAAATTTAGCTGGCTTCCTGTAGGTTGCAGTAATGCACCCCAGCTCAGCAGGGAAAGAGAAGGCTGCCTTACTGTAGGGTTTGCCAGCCAGAATGGAAATATGCTGGATACTTAGCCAGGACCCACAGGCTGAAACATGTAAAAAAGGGCACAGGGAGTCCAGCATCCTACAGTCTTCAATTTTCTGTCTCATCTGAAACTGACAGTAAACAGTATTTAACTTGTGAGGGAGAGGGCTTTATTTGGAGGGCTTATCTAAAATATCTGATTGAATCCAGCTGTGCTTTGACTGTCAGATCCTGGACAATTGCATTCCAGGGGGCAGTGGCTGCAGTAGTTTGGATGAAATGTTACCCTTACCATGGGCCTCCAGGTTGTCTTTAAAGGGAGCAGTACTCTTGAAGCCATTGGAGATTCATTAAAAAGAAATTCTGCTCAGGTATGGGACTGGTGTAATAGCACTGAAATCCAAAAGGATCAATATGCTTGCTTGCAATTAAAGCCCTCAGATATATCCTTTAAAAGCTCATATGAGCTGGGCAAGAGAGGCACGTGTTTTTGTCCATCTAAAGGTCAGCTCTCAGGCACAGTAATGCACTCAGGCAAGCAGATGCAGCTCGCATCCACACAAACTGCTGATGCATTAAGTGTGTGCCCTTAAGGCCTCCTGCTGAAGGCAATGGCAAACATCCAGTTGATTTTAACAGGATTAGCTATCATAGATCACATTTTCATCTCACATGAATTGCGAGATGTTGGAAGGAACCTCATCTGAAAGTTTTTGTCCTTTGTAACTTTTAGTTTTTTTCCTCCAGCTGGGTTGACCTGCACCTGCTTGTGGCCAGAACTTGGTGCCTTTGTGTTTCTCCTGGAGCTCTGCCTCCCCACAGGTGGTGGTAGCAGGGAGGAGGAGGGAGAAAAGTAGGACAGGGCAGTAGAGCAGAGAGAGCTTTCTTCTGTAAGTACACATTTGCAGATGTCTAGACAAGAAGGAGTCAGTTTTCTGCCTGTGGGTAAATGGGCAACTGCTTGACTCAAAATGTTTTATGTCTTTCTTGAGCAGGAATTCCCAGAATCACACCTTTCACCTGGCCTACTTTTAAGGCGCCATCCTGGGATGTTTGTTAAGGCAGCAACCATGGTGCATAGCTAACAACAGGCATTTGTTAAGGACAGGCTTGAGTTCCAGCTTTGCCTGCCTCTTTGCACCATGGGGGCTGATGATCTGCACTGCAGGCTCCAGCTCAGCACAGTGGGTGTAGGAGTGCCCTGCTGACATCTGCTTTTGCAGTGTGGAGGAGGCACAGCTTTCTGGACCATTTGTGAGGGTGTTTCTGATGAGGCTGTGCTTTCAGGTTGCATAAGCAATAATGACAAGCTGCCAAAAGGGCAATCCTGCATCCTTCCCTTGATCATACTGCACACTCCCACTGTCCCCTTGTATGGGCAATCATGATCATACGGGTGGAAAGGCAGGTTGGAAAATATGTCTTTAATACAGAATAATACATACATTTGCTCTGTTTACTCTCAGGTTTTGTGTTGGTAGTTTATTTTGTCTGCCCAAGAGATGGACTGGAGTGGTAGACCAGGCGGTGTAGAGGAAGTAAAGGTGGTGGTGGCCTTTTTGGGAGCAGCCAGAACCTAGATAGACTTAAATTGATTCTGAGTGCACTTGTCTACTAAAATCTCATTCTTTTTGCGAAGCTGCTACTTCATTCTTCATTGCTGCAACAATTTTGTTAAAGGTGTAGTTAATGGGATAGCTCTATAGGGAAAAAAGGTGGGGCATTGTCCAGTGGTAATAGAGTATATGATTTTAAAATAGTGTATTTATGTTCACTCTGATTTTTGCAGACATAGATTATAAAATCTTGATAACAGGTTTACCTAGTGGATATTTTCCATGAACCTATGGGCGAACTATTAAAAAAAAAACATTTATTAATCAGCCTTTTTTAAAATTTGAGAATGACTTCTAGGAGAGAAAATCTGTAGTGTGAAAACCTGACTTAAACGTATGCTAGAAGTGCTAGTAATGATTTTTTTCCCCAAAAAATTAAATTATGTAAGATTTTATTGAATTTGTAGAGACAACTAGCTTTACTGCTCTTTCTTAAAAAAATTCATAATCTTGATTTTTCTTTCATTGCCTCCATTGTATTTTAAAGAAACATAAAGCACTTAAAAATGCAACATAAACCAGGAAGTTTATATTCCACCACGTTTTGTGTTGTTTAATAGAATTAATCACTGTATAATTGAAATCATGCTAATACTCACTTGAGCTGCCTCTGTGATTCAATGCAGAGACTTCTGATTTGTCTTAAACTGCTTGGAAGAAGACTGTGTTTTGAGAAAGAAAATTGATTTTGCACAATCTGCTGATGATCAGCAAGGCTTAATGAATGATTGCCTCAAGAAATCTCATTAAAGTAATTTGGATGGATGAGCAGGAGTGAATTGCAAAAAGAAGAAAGCATAGTTGATGCTTGAATGCATCACTTACTGATATTTGACTCTTGAAGTATCCAAAGCCAGCAAAAGGAAAGGATCAGATACCTCTGCTTTACTTTCCTTGACACTTCCAAGTTAGTTTGATTCCTTTGGGGAAAAATGAAGATAAGTTTTTGATTTTAGTAGTATCTATTCTTTACCAAAACACTGCAGTAATTTCATTCCTTGAAGTGTATTTTTTCTTTTTTTTTTGGGATAATTTAAAGAAGTAATTTCCGTGAGGCTGTGAATTGGGTGAAGCCTTTTATTTATGTAGAATCTACTGGTTAGCTCTTTAGCAAAGGTGAGAGTCTTCTGGTCAGCCTGGTTTCAGCTGTTCACCTCACAAAACTTTTCTGTGGCTGACGCAGTGTGGTGATCATTTAAGAGAGACTCTGGACTAAAGTAGGTGGGAAGCAGCAGAAAACAAAATAGAATGAAAATGAAAAAAATACCAAAGCCTTGATGGATTTATATAAATTTTGAACAGCCTTCTTGTACCATCCATCCTAAGCCCATGTTCAGTTTCAGGGGCAGTAGATATTCCCCACATACCAACATCGGCACTTGCTGTTATTTAGGGCCATGCTACAGCACCAGGCAGTTCTTGAAAATTGTTGCAAGCAGGGAACAGGTAATTCTGGCTGCCAGTCTCTCCTCTCTGTTGTTTGAGAGGGTGGCTGTTTTTCTGACAGAACCTAGGCTTTCATTAGGGCCTTGCTGGTTTTTCCTCTCCATGAGGAGATGATTCTGTAGACCTCAATAACAGCTGTGCAGGGGAATATCTGAAGTGAAGTTTCCCACATTCTGTAGGAAGTAGAAGCTGCACAGCAGAGTAAGAATTGAAATACATGATTTTGGTACCACCTGGTCTGGGTGCTGAATCTCAGGCTCATGATCTGATGGCTGTGGTGGCTGTAGAGTATGGTTTTCACAGAGAAAGCTGTCATGCAGATGGTTAAGAATATGATTATGCCCCCAAAATGCATATTAACTCTCTAATTTCCTAGAGCATTTTAGAGTGAATTAGTGTAAGACTGGCTGTCAGCCCTCCACTAACCTGTTTTTAAATAATTTTAATTCTTGGTAACTCATTTTTTTAATCTGCTATTTAGAATAGTATTTGTTTTCCATATGAGAATGTTTTTAAGTTTATTATGTTAGTGTTTGTAAGGGAGTTGGAGATCCTAGACACCAGACTTCAAAGAAAAAGGTATTAACTTTTTCTTGATTAGATATATATATTTGTTCTTTTACAGTAGCCTTACACATCACAGTGCTATTTGAAGTAATGGTTTTAATAACAATAATGAGGAATAGAAGACACTGCTTGCCTCTCAAAGCCCTGTAATAGACATAAACAACTCTGAGAGTCTGTTGAGTTATATTCTGCTTTGTCAGTCTACAGAGAGATTAATAATGGTTGGATTTTTGTAAAACATTAGAAAACTTAAACTTTAGGTTATGTGGGTGTTCATGTATTTTGATATCTTCAGAACATTAGTCTTCCTTGGAAGCAGGCAATACAACAAAATCAGAGCTTTATGTTAGAAGTCATGCTTTATTTTCTTTCTGGTCTCCAAACAATTATTCGATCTTACTTAACTTCAGTATCAGGTTGGCAGCCTTTCCTTAGTATCACTGAAGTTTTGGTGAGGAATTAAGCTTTCATTCCCAAAATGCACTTCTTAGTGTTGTGCTAAATCAGGAAAGGAAACAGAGGAACACATGCAAATCAAGCACTTCATGTATTATGTATTCCTGCATCTCGATTAGGTTTGTGTGTGCAAACTGATTCTATTGGTGTGGACCTATGTGTATAAAAAAGAAGTAATACTTAAGTGTTTAGCATCATGCAGCTGTTAACATGCATTTACACAGATTTTATGAGTTGGGAGCAAGGTTAACTTCAGCAGGCTTCACCGAGGGCTGTTCAGGACCTGTAGAGTCTGGTTAAGTGATGAAGGTAGGCTGCAGAGCTGTTGCTGTGTGATTGGAGAGTGGAGCTTCCTTCCTTCAGCTCTCAGCATTTGTTCCCTTCTCAAGAATGGTCATCACTTTCCTGCATGGCTGTCCAGCTCCAGCATGCTCTCCCTGTCCTGTGTGCTGCCTCAGCATTCCCACAGACACACAGACATGTGTCACTGCGATTTAACGTGTGGTCCAAAATCTGGGTTTGTGGCTTTGATGGTACAGTGAGTGGTGCACCTGGAGATGATGGATTCATTCCAAAATTTGAATGTACAGTTGTGTCCTGGTTGTTAAATACAGCATGCTGATGAGGGGTGTCACTGTTCCTGGAAAGAAGGCAGGGTTTGAAAGACTGAACAACTTAAGGGAATAAACAACACCAAGAGAAGCTGGCCCATATTACCCAAGGTCATAAATTTCAAGCATAAATTATCACAATTTCTCCTTTTGTACTTAAAATTTCTATGTACATGTGAATTTTGGGAGACGTGTTTATTTGAGTAAAGTTCCACTGATGAGATCAGAACTTCACAATGAGAGAAGAAAAATTATACTTCCTATTGCCCGTCTATGTGAACTAGGGATTTCTCTGTTGACTTGTTTTCTGTTGACTTGTTTTCTGCCTGCAGGTAAATATAGCTCTTTTCTTTCTGTTACAGAAGCAGCCTACAAAAACAGATATACCTAATCGACTCTCGAGGTGTAGATGATCATGGGAGAACAACTGTTAAAGAACAGCATCCTTGATCAATTTATTAATAGCCATGAGCAGTCATATGAGGAATTTCTAAATACATTCACATATCTTTTGAAAGGTATGTAATTTCCTAAACCTCCTGTTAGATACCACAGACAGGAGGAAAGATAAAAGGGTGGTATTTAGTGTCATTGTGCTACTCACCTGCTTTGTGACTTCAGGCAAATCTTTGTGATGCTTTTGTTTTTCCACTCAGCAGTGGGAGCCCTAAGGACAACTTTCTACAGATTGTTTCCCAGGCTGCTGTGTCTCTACAGGTGGTTGGCTATTTATGCTTGCTTTAGGGAGGCAGGGGAACATGCACCGTTTGGAAGGATAGATGTTTCCTAAGGACATCTTGCATTGTTTTGCTTGAGAAGTCTCCATAAAAGAAGAGCCTAAGGAAAGTACTTAATAGTGTGAGATGGCCTGAGATTAGGAGTGTGCAATATGGGTACTTTTACAGCTTTACTAACACTAGCCCACTGTGCTGTGCCTGTGTGTGTGCCTTTTACAAAGTGATTGTCTTCTATGGTGAAACAGCTACCTACAGGGATGTGGATATTGTCTAAATTGATTTCAGCAAGGAAGGCTTTCAACACTGTCCTTCACAAAATCCTTGTAGGCAAACTCAGGAATTGAGAGCTGGATTAATGGACAGTGAAGTGGGTTGAGAACTGGCTGAGTGAAAAATGAGGTGCATTGAGAACTGGCTGAGTGGCAGATCTCTGAGGGTCATGATCAGCAGCACAGGGTCTGGTTGGAGCCCTGTCACTGGTGGTATCCCCCAGGGTTCAATACTGGGCCCAGTCTGGTTTACCTAATTCATCAATGACTTGGAGGAAGGGGCAGAGTTCCTTGCTGACTCAAAGCCAGGAGGAGTGGCCCACACCCCAGAGTGCTGTGCCACCCTTCAGAAGGGCCTCGACAGGCTGGAGAGATGGGCAGAAAGGGACCTGCTGAAATTCAACCACGGCAGGCGCAGGTCCTGCTCCTGGGGAGGAATAACCCCTGCACCTGCACAGGCTGAGCTCTTGGAAAGCAGCTCTGTGGAGAAGGACCTGGGGGTCCTGGTGGAAAACAAGCTGTCCATGGCCAGCAGTGGCCAAGGAGGCCAATGGGATCCTGGGGTGCATTTGGAACAGCATCGCCAGCAGGTCAAGGAAAATGATCTTCCCCCTGTACTCAGCCCTGGTGAGGCACATCTGGAGTTCTGTGTCCAGTTCTGCGCTCCTCAGGACTGGAGAGACTTGGAGCTCCTGGAGCAGGTCCAGCAGAGGGCTACAGAGATTATTAAGGAACTCTCACTTAGGAGCATCTCACTTAGGAGGAAAGGCTGGGGCAGCCTGGTCAGTTCAGCTTCCAGAAGAGATGAATGAGAGGGGACCTTATCGATGTCTATACGTATGTGACAGGAGGGTGTCAGAGGATGGAGCCAGGTCTTTCTCAGTGGTGCCAGCAATAGGACAAGAGGCAATGGGCAGAAAATGGTGCACAGAAGTTCCACCTGAACATGAGGAAGAACTGCTTTACTGTGAGGGTAAATGAGAACTGGAACAGGCTGCTCAGAGAGGGTGTGGAGTCTCCTCACTGGAGATACTCAAGATCTCTCTGGATACAATCCTGTGCAAGGTGCTCTAGGATGACCCTGCTTGACCAGGGAGATAAGACCACTGTGGTCACTTCCAACCTGGCCCATCCTGTGCCAAGCTAACAGGTAACTTGGATGAAGGTACAGCAGGACATCAGACAGATGATTAGGCTGAAAAGATCTTATGCTCTGCAGATGAAATAAAAAGTGGAGCTTAACCTTGATCTGAGCATTGCTGAATTACAGAATTCCAATTCTGTAGCTCAGGTTCACATTTTTTAACCATGTTCAGACAGGTGTCATAAAAATAAGTGCAAGCTACATATTACTCACAATTCTCTTTACCACTGCTTTACACTACAAGTGATGTCCTCATACTATTGCAGAAGCACTGTATTTTTCAATTACAGGATGTGGCATGCCCCATCAATTGGTACTCAGAAGTCTGTTCTGTCCTTATCCTTCAGGCAGAACTAAGTGTCAGTCACAAGCGAAGCTGCCACAGAAATAATCTTGTGGCAACTTTCTGTCTCTCTTGGCTATAAAATATAGAAGAGAAGGGAGACACTGGGGGATAAGAGGATTGAAAATCTGGTTCTGGTCTTATGTATGATTGATACACTGGGGATAGCTCCTATCATAGAGGCATGGTGCATGTCATGATGCTACTTGCAAAAAGCCTCAGCATGTATTTCAGTCACTTTCACTGTCACTGTAGGCATTTGCCACTAAAATCATATAAAAGGTAGAGTTTTGCCTGAATCAAATGCTTAGAAATGCAGGTTCTTATGATGGTATGAACTGAACGGCTCAACTTCTTTTCCTCCTACTTTCATTTTTCGTTAAAAGTACCCAACATGCTGGTTTGCATTGTAAACTAGTAACCTGCAAAAATTCTATACTTAAAGCATAAAACATACATTGTCATCTAATAGATTTTTGTCTGTCATAACATTGGAAACAGAAAACACACAAAACTAATTGGGTCCCATCGATTTCCCAGAATAACATATTTACAGAAGGTGATTTTCACTTTTGCATGAATTAGGTGTAGCATTGCAAGGCTATTTTCAGCTGAAGTTTCTGTGTTATTCTTGAAAGCATTTCATAAGTGATTTTTAAATTTTTATTCATATGCTAAATTTACACACAGTGAAGCTGTAAAGAATATACCTGGAATAGAAAGACCCAAGCATCCTTGGCTGTTCTGGCCTAGCTAAAAAGAACCTTTTGAGGCTATAAATAGCCTGGAGTGACCCCCTGTGAACACATTGGGACCTTCTGCTGAGATTTTAAAAATGTGGAAAACAAGATTAATGAATTTTTACATTCCTGACTTCAATTTGGCTTTTTAAGAATTGCTAATATCCCAATCAAGAAAATCACATTATTAGAACGTTGTCTTTTTATTGTGTCTGAATGTGTGATATTACCTTCGATTACTTCTATTCTTCCTTGTGCTATTTGGAAAGATACTCTCTTAGTTCACATACAACAAAATCAGGAATGAAAATAAGTCCTTCTAAATTCTTTGTAATTGGTTTCATGATGTGTGTTTGGTTTAACTAGCACAGAGATATGTTATAACTTAGCTGGACCATAAAATTACATCTTTGATATGGGTTTTTAATCTTCCAGATTTTAGTATTCCTAAAAAATCCCAGTGGTTCTGTTTTTTAAAATGTGCTTAGTGCAGTGAGAAAATGAGAGTTCATAGACTAATTGACAAGTAAATCCTATAGTAAGATTATTATTTCATGTCTACAAATCTGATGGAGAATGGATAAACATATGTAAATATATTTTTAAAACTCTGATCTCAGCATATAAAACATGAACATGACCTATATACCTTAAATGAATACTATTTTAAAATTATAGGAGTACTTGCTCTGTAATGGAATTTTTTTAAAACCCTTTTTATTGATTCTGTAATGGATGGGCATTTGATAGCTAGGTTAAGATTCTAGTTAAGTCTCTTTATTTTTCCTATTTAGAGCATCCAAAGTGTGTTTTTTGTCATAGGGATAATAGTAACTAGATGAATATATGGGCAAAAGGGCTGGTGAACCCATGGGAATATAATTTAGTAAATTAGAGCATGAGTACAAGAAGATGACATCTTTCACACTTGCTGTAAAGCTTTGCAGTTGAAGGAGCCTCAGAAGAGCTGAATTTACAAAGGAGTGGATGATACAGATTTCTGCAGATATGGTCAATGAGTGGTATGTTCAGAACTACACACTTTCTAGAAAAACTTTGGACAAAATCTCCTAGAAATCCATCCAACCCTGCTTTTGAAAAAATTGCCACAGAGGACAAAAGCCTCTTTCAAATCTTAAGGGGAGTGTTTGAAATCTGGTGCAGAGCTATGATGCTCAAAATCAGAAGGCAGCATTTTTTTTAAAACTCAGAGGAAGAACGGGAAATTCACTGGAGCATAAAATATCTCATTTGACCTTGTTAAAAAATACAGAAAAAAAAAAACCTCCAAATGGTCCAAGCTTCAAAATTTTCATCTAGAAAATTTTAAATTACTCCTCTCCCGCTTCTAAAAATACGGGATTAGGGATCATTCAGCTGGATAGGAAAATGCTACCATGGACAAAATTCTTACCCAAATCCAAGTTAAGATTTGCATTTTTTTTTCATGATTCTGGGCATTTGACTGCTAGGATTAAATGCATTCCATTCCTGCTGTTAATTTTGCTGTATTTCATATACCTCCCACTGCTTGGTAGTTTGATGAAGTCCAGGGACCTTGTTTAGACCCATCTAAGCAAGCCACAGCTTGGATTGAAACTTCTTAGCCTTGGTGCTGTTGTTTTGATGCCCCTGCTGAGCAAACTGTCAAGTGGAGGAAGTTTGGAAGTGACTGATCACTTCTGTGCTTACAGGTGGCATGCCAGGGCCATATTCTGTGTTGTGCTCAGATTAACTAAATTCCCCAGTGAAAGCTGGGCAAGGTATTCAGTTCACAGTCCATTTGACTGTAGCTGTCTGCTTCCTTTTTACATTAACCACATTTAGGAAAAACAACAACCTTAAACTTCCCATATAAGTGTCAGTGGGGGCACTTTACAAACGTCAGTCTTCACAGCAGAAAGCATAGCAGAGAACTATATGAGAAGTGACAGTGAATGCACTTTTATTTAAAAAATGGACCAGTAGGACAATGCTAACCCCAAGAGAAATTTCAACCTATGAGTAGATTTGCCAATAAAAGCAACTAGACAGTTCAGTAAAATGAATTAAATTAATCTGTCATCCCCAGGGAACTTAAACAGGGCATGAAATAGGGAAACAGCATCAATTCAGAGCTTTTTATTGATGTGTTGTGCTGGATCATTTGAAAGAATTGGTTGGAAGACAAAATTTGCAATTTTCTATTGATCATAAATTCAGTAGCTATCTCTTTGTAGCCTTTATTCAATATAGTATAAAATCAAATACCATACAGAGCCCCTAAATGTAAAAAAAAATCCCAG